CAGTGATGGGCTTCCAAAATATCAGCTGGATTTGAGTGTGCTGACTGAAAGTTACACCTTGCTCCTGCAGAAAGGTATTAGGTTGGTCAGCTGCCAACTCCTGAGGAGCAAATTCTGTAAGATTATTTTCATTGATCCTAGTTAATCAAGCAGTGGTTGTACAGTACTTTAAACATGAAAAGCACTCCTATAAATATTTGTTATTATCATCTTATTACACTACCTCATCCCAATTAAATGCATAAATGGGCATGCTTTAATCATAAGTGATTGTTACCAGAATTATTTCAAATATATGTATTTGTCTGTGCTGACAATCCTCAATACTGGTATGTGAACCTGGAACAAAATGAGGCCTCTTGATTTTGGAAATACTGGAGAACCACTGTCTTATCAGAATGAACGTCTCTTTCCCTAGAACCAAAACACATTTTTTTCCCCAAATACAAATCTAGGCAATTTTTTATTTTTATTTGTCTTGCATCTTGGACACCTGCTGTGGACACAAGGAGTAGCCTGGTTTTCTGGCCTTCCGTCATTAATATAATGGAAAAAGAATGTCACTTGTGGTCTTGTCTCAGATTCACATCCTTAAGGGTTATGCTTTATCAAGGTCTGTATACTGTGCTGTGCGATGCACTGGAATAAATTAAGACAATTAAATGCTGAAAAATTCTCTACTTCCTTCAAAGGTTAAGACATTAAGACTCAAATAATGATACATACGTTGCCATCTGATTATCAGTGATATAGTGCTTCTCACTCCATTGTATTAATTCTGAATATAAGTTTCTTTAAATCAGCATTGGTAATGCAAGCAGTGGTCTGTCTTCATTAAAAAAAAAAGAGAGAGAGAGAAATAATGTACTTTTAAAATAAAAAGGTTTTGATATTGCTTTTTCATAGTACATTTCATAGAATCACAGACTGAAAGAATGGTTTGAGTTGGAAGGGATCTTGAAGATCATCCAAATCCAATTCCTTGTCATGGGCAGGGACAGCTTCCCCTAGACCAGGTTGCTAAAATCCTGATCCAGTCTGGCCTTGAGTACTTTCAGGGATGGGGCATTGACAACTTCTCTGGGCAACCTCTTCCTGTGTCTCAACTACCTTTGCATTGAATCATTTTTTCCTTATAACTAATTAAAATCTACCCTCTTTCAGTTTGAAACCGTAACCTTCAGCCTCCTTCAGGTACTGGAAGGTCACAATAAGATCTCCCTGCATGAAGCCTTCTCTTCCCCAAGCTGAACAACCTCAACTCTCTCAGTCTGACTTCACAGGAGAAGTTTCATAATCGTCTAACTGCAAAATCTCTGAAAAAATCAGTTATGTCTAAGGTCTTCTACACAAAGAGGAGAGCTATGAAATCATAGGGTCTTTTTGTGGAGTAGGCGGAGTGGTGTCTTTTTATTTGGCTATACTTTTCTAGTGAAATAAGAAACTGCAAGATAAGTTGATTTGTTAGACAAAGTAGTTACTTTACTAGATAGCAGTATTGTTACCACACTTCCCATTTCTGCTTCTTTCCCTTTTTTTTTGTCAGGTACTCTAACTCTCAATTCTTCACTCTTTTTCATCTCTTTTTATATCAATTAAATGCTCTTTGGGAACATGGGTAGGCAGTTTTTGTATATTTGTAATGCACCAGCAGAAGACTGTAGTTGACTGAATGCAATCACAACTAAAATAATAACATTCTCATCTGCTCTTTCATCAATTTACATTGAAGACATTTTGCAATGCAGAACTCTATACTAGGTTTTCTGTGTCTTTCTGGAATAACTGTATATAAGAGTCACGACCTGGACTCACATAAAAATGTGAATTTCTACCAAAACAATACTAGAACACCAAAATGTAGAAACCCTTTACATCAGGAACTACCTCTGACTGAGTCTGTATGGCATTTGCTGACAATAGGCCTCCAATGAGAGTGTTTGAAGTGGAATTACATAATGCATATATATATAAAATGGAATGTGTCATTGCTGCAGTGTTAAGCTATATTTGGAAGCCACTACAACAAAGCACTTTCTCTCCTTTTTTTTTTTTCTTCTATATTTCACTATCAGAATAAATTGTCTTTGATATATGAATCATTTTATGAGACCTTTTTATTTTAATAACTGCTAATTTGCACACCTAACATCAATTGCTGGTGGAATTAATTGTGGATGCAAATCAGAATGTTTAGCTGTCTAATCACCTGATTGTGCCTATAAATCAGTGACAGTAATTATGTGTGTAAATGTTCATTTCAGCCTACAATTAATTTGGCCAAAATTGAAAGGACAGAAAAAAAATACCACCCTTGGCTGAAATTTGGTCCCCACTGTGTAAAACCAGAAAGTATCTTCCTCCTCTATGTCGTGTGTTTAAATTGCAGCAAACTAAGTAGACAAAGAGCAATGATTCCCCAGTCCCCAATAACTCACTGCCAGTGTTTCACAATAAAGTGCAATGGGAGAGGAAATATTTCCATACGGGTTCATTAATCACAACATATTTGCCATGCACAACCACTCTGCAGAGCACGTAAGAACCCTAGGGGTCCTCACCTGCCACAGTATGTCATTTTTGTAATAGGAAAAGTATTTTTTGTACAAATGCTGTAGAACTGAAGTTGCAGATGGCTCCACTGGCAGAGCTAGAGCCTCCTGGTACAATTTTCAGCAGCCACAGCTCCTTTAGGAATTTATAGCAAGGCTTAGTGATATCTTAAAAGAATGATGCTGGAGATGCTGTCTGCTCCCACTATGTGCAATATTCCAAGGTGTGCCCCTTGGGAGGACATCTTAGGCAGGACAAACAAACCCTACTCAAACAATAAACTGCAGAAGGAAATACAAGTCTTCCCTGTCCCTGTTGTGCTGCAGGACTTTAATGAGAGGTCCAGGAACAATTAAATGGATCGTGACTGAGAACCTGTGGGTCCAATGGACCCCATTAACAGAACTGTGCAGCAAAAGATGCCTTTCCAGCTCAGTGGCTTTCAGATCTGGGCAGCAGGCCATTCCACTTTACCTAACCCCAAAGACACCAGAGACCCCCAGTTATCCCATCACACTCTGACCCATCTAGACCTGCTCAGTGTTTTCCATGAGAGTTACAGTTGGTGTCTTGTTTACTGTACCTCTGTGGTCTCAGTCTCTGAGCAGTTCATTGCTTCTTCACTCCCACACAGGACTTTGATAAAATTCAAAGCCACCTGGTGTGATTTTAATTTAAATGTGAGTTTAACGTGTTTTCCTTTTATATTGCTGTGATGTGCATTGTCAAGAGAAATGCTTCAGGCTCAGAACTGTCCTCTCAGCTGTTTCTCTGTGCTACCCCCTGGTTTTGTTTGGTGAATATTCCTTAATAAAAACTGCTGCTCTGCAGTAGAGTGTGCATTGGGTACAAGGGTGCATTGGGTCACTCTTCAAGGGGGCAACCAAGTGTTGGGCTCTTTGCCAGTCAGAAGCCAAAAGTCTTCTCATCAGCATAAGACACCTCTAGAGTTACAGCTGAGCAGTGATTAAAGGTTGCATGAAACCTTTGTAAAAAGAGATTTTGCAATTCCCCATACTCCACCAGTTATGAAAAGGGTTTTAAGACAAGAACTTGTGGAAAGAAGAAATACAGAAATGCTTTATCTTAACTAATTAAAACAATTCATATTAAGAGTGGTTACAATTTACTAAACTTTTTCTAATTATAAAATAGAATCTCATTTTAAAAATTACTGTGAAAACATATTAAAACTATCATGAGAAAATAATGTCAGGAACAGGATATGAAAGATACATCAAGAAAAAGAGAAACAAAGATCCACATCAGTTAGTAGCCCCACAGGCTACTACTGTAGGACACAAGGCACCCTGATGCAAGGCAATAACTTAATCTTGAAAATTTTTCATTAAGCGAGACTGGGATTTTTTTTCAGTCAGCCTTAATTAGTTTGGAACTAAAATTGTAGGAACAATGTGGGAGCTTTTCTGACACAGAATCTCGGAGATCAAATCAGAATAACAGAGCGGATCAAAGCCACCCAGAGTGATCACTGTGCTGTGACTCAGGTGTGCCATGGGAGGCTGCTGCACACTCTGCAAGGGTCACCACAGGCATCACAGCATCTGGGTACTAGCCTTCAGAAGACCTCCCTTGCTTCCTAAAACCACTCATTACTCCTGCACCCACCAAAATCTACTTAATGAGCTGGTAGCCAGGTGTTTCCCTGCTGATCATACAGGCCACGGGAGCTGACAGTCTTTGCCTATTGCCCCCTTTATCTGATGGTTACTACGGGGTGCAGAGCAGCCTATTGGGTTCCTGGTTCCTGCTGCTGCTTACTGCTACTGCTGCATGGGAGCTACCATGGTGAGTCACTTCTGATCTCCAAGGGAACCTACAGCCAGATCTCCACGCCTTCTAAAATAGGAACTCACACCTACATCTTCTCTCCGACTAAAATAATCAAACTATGAGAAAAAAGCATGATACATTTGGCAGTGTCTAAAATATTCAATTCATTAGATGGGTGGAAAAGCAGGACAATAAGCTTAGCCATAGCAGAGCTACAGGCTAAGACCACCTCAGAGTTGCAGTGCAGGCGGTCCTCCAAGCCCTAATACAGCCATGCAGAAGAAGATTAGTTCTTTACAGGTTCTCATTAAAGAGTCTGTTTTGTTCCTCTCATTATTTGCAAAACCTCAGAGGAAAGCCATATAATCAAGATATCACCCACATATTTCAAATTAGAAAACTGGGTCCTTGAAAGAAATACTATTTAACAAAAAAGACAAGGCTAAGCTTTTTAAATGGCCTTATTAAGGCTAGTCTTGTCTTCTGTTTAGTTTACTCTTATCACATCAACTCTTACAAATTGAAATACAACAACCTTTTAAAATAAATGTTCATTATTTTGAAGTACATTGAACAAAATATTATTTGCAAGCAGAAGCATAACTTGTAAAATATCATTCTGTGCTTCTATAACCACTCTCTTTAATTTCCAGGTATTTTCACACGATGTACTTGGGTATCCGGAGTCGACAGAGTGGAGAGAATGACAGATGGCGGTTTTATTGGAAAATGGTGTATGAGTATGCAGATGTGAGTATGCTGCATTTGCTAGCCACCTTTCTGGAAAGTGCACCACAGCTGGTCCTGCAACTCTGTATTGTTGTACAGACTCGTACACTCCAGGCTCTCCAAGGTAGGGGTTCATTTAATCTATTTATTTTTTATAATTTTTGGAAGGTGTAATTTCCACACATACATATTTATCCTTGGTTCAGACTGCTGTGTGCCTTGTAGTCCTGGCATAAGAGCAGAACTTGCCTGCTAGCTGCTATTTAACTGTTAACAATAACTCTGTCAAGAAAGCCTGTGTTATTAGAGGGTTTTTTAGCCTTTCTTAATGGCCCTTGGTTGTGGGTAGGATTTAAAAATATTTTGCTTTCTGCATGTCCTTGTAATAGAAGAGCTCTTCTGATTATCCACTGGGCCAATGTGAAAATTGCATCAATCAAACTATTACTCTTCTCCCTATGCTTTTTTCTGTGAATGTTCAAAACCCTGCAAACTGCAGTAATGAGGTTTATATGGCATTATGCAAAACAGGAGATGGCACAGGAGATAACAGCAATTCTGTGAAGAAAATGCCTATGTTTATGTCCATCAGTTCTCAGCCATGGTTACCTGAAATAATACAAATCATCTCTCAAGCACTACTCATTCCTTCACAGTCTGGGTTTCCTTCTAAAGTTGATGTTTTCAGCAAGTGTGGTTACTTCTTTAAAATAGTAAATCCATGCATATGTCCTGCTATCTGGCTTTGTCAGTCGGCGATACAGATATTAGAATATCTCATTCACTATTGCTTTTTTCATCCTGCTTTTGGCTACCTAACAGCTCTCCTTTTGTATTGTGCCATTGTTTTGCCTTATGGCTGCACCGGGACAGAATTCTTTAGCAAGGGAATGAAGTGATTGAGAACTTGGAATCCAGAAGAGAACAAAAATGCCATGAGGCAGTGAGAAGTGAAGGGAGGAGGGGAGAATCAGAGGGACAGAGGGAGGAAGGAAAAGCAGAATTTTGTCATTTACTTTTAAGGAACAGCTCATGTACTTACCACTGTACAAGAAGAAAATGTGACAGCTCCTTGCTCCAATAAAATGTTGGTTCTGCTTAGCTTATTATGAGTAACATGCAGTGAGTCTGATTAGATAAAAAAAAAATGGGCATAAAGTGGGTAACTGTGTGAAGATCTTGATCCTGGGCATTTCCTGTGGATAAATCAGTGGCTTCACTTTTACAGAGCTCTGAACTGTCATGTAATAAAGAGATGTACTTCTTCCTGTATTTTTGTTTCATTAGATCTAAAACTCTGCCATCTTAATGGGAAAAGAAAACCAAAGTTTCTATTTTAATTAGCTGGTGCTCTGTACAAGGAAGTTTACCTATGTACTTCCTACTGCTATTTCTCAAAATGATGACGCCCCACACTAACAAATTCAAATTATTATCATTGCAGAGGAGGTATTATCACTTCAAAATTTGTCTCCCCAGAAAAAGTGAGTCCAGAGAAAGACTTAGGAGAAGAACATAGATAGAATACTGTACGGTCAGCTGTAATCTAGCTATCTTCATAAAATATTAATACAGAATGCCTCTCATCCTCATTTTAGTGCAATAATAGCTCTGTCTCTGAGAAGTGAGCATGGTGAGTATACAGTAAGCCTGTGATACACTCTGCAAGTGGTTGTTAATTAGAGAAGACCTGAAATGCCTCAATTTAAACAGCAAAAATGGCTCCTGCACCCTGCAATCAGCTCTGTGAAACTTATATATCAGAAACTAGAAAGTAATAAAACTATAATTATGGATTTCAGCTGAGAAGGTTGAAGGTATTTACTTATGCTCTCTTCCCCCATTTTTTTCCAACTTCCACTGAGAAACGGAAAAAAACTAAGAAAATTAAACAAGGTGCTAGAATTTTCCTAAACTGTAGTACCATTATGCTCTCATGATAAAAGCTAATACGTTTTAGCATCTTGCCAGCTGTGAAAATCCTTTCTCTGTTTTCTCTCCTTTTTTAAAGAAATTATAAGGCTAATGTCTTACACCATAGGATGGTGGATTAGCTGTGAGGCTGCATAAGAAGAGCATACTTTTTCTCAGTGGTATCATGCTACAAATTGGTGTTTTAAAAGGCTCAGCCATAAGGCATTTGCTTCAGCTAGCTGTCCACTCACTGAGCCTGTTAGAGAGAATTCCAACATGGATCAATAAACACAGTGTTTGATTGATTTTCTTTGTTTAGGGAAAGCTACTGGATGTTTTTATTGTTGTTCTGTTAGTTCTCTGTCCCACAGGACAAAATTACTATGAGAATCGTTAAGTGACATCGATGGTCCCTGTTCTTAAAAGTTTATGACTTTCAAAAACCACAAATTTGGTGTGAGAAATGAATGGTCTGTAATGAGGATATTTCTAATATTAATCCATTAATTACTGCAAGAAAAACTTTTAAGTATTTTTATTTATGATATTCTATATTTTCAATTCCAAATGCAACAAAATAGCATCATTCCCAGCAGGACAATGCTATCAGCATCACTGAAGATTTTGTAATGGGTTTTGGCTTGGTTCACACTATTTCTTATTTCAGTAACTAAGCCATGCTAATCAAGATAAGAAATATGTGCAGATCTGTACATGGATCTTGATGGGGATCATTAACAATATTATGCAATATCTGCAAAACCATCCTTCTCAATCTCCCATGCACTGCAGTAAGGACTGTGAGAATCCAGGGCTTCCCTCTGTCTGCCCTGGATTGCCTGGGACCCCGGTAGGGGGTCAGAAACCCCCCTGTACAGAGCCCTGAGAGACACTGTCTGTGACTTCTGTCCATAGAAAAGAGTTTTCAATCTTACAGGATGAATTACAAGCTCTGAGTGTTTGAAATAAGTAATAATTAAGTGTGGCACGGGTTCAAAAGTAAAATTTTAGTTTTCCAGATTAGGGGTTCAGAGGGGACAAGATGGAGGAATTGGGTGTGTCTTGTCCTTTTCCTCCTTCTTCATGCCCTCCATGTTTCACTGTAGTGTTGGCATTTTTCTATTGGTTTAGGCTGGGGACACGCTGTTTAACGTAGGTGATAGATATTGGCACATTATTGTAAATATAGCACACGTAATTTCTGGTATATAATGTTTGTAACATCCCACTGGGGGCAGAGTCCCGCACGCTGCCCTGCAGGACAGACCTGCGGCAGGGCAGCAGAACATGTTATAGATAAGCAAAAATAAACAACCTTGAAAACAGCACAGACGAATTATGGCTTCTTCTTTGGCAACGGGGCAGAAAGACAGAGACTTTTTACAATCTTGGAATCATCAATACCACAGATTCCGACAAAGGACCACTTCAAAAGCCCTGAGGATACACCACAGGGATCCTTTAGCATTTGCCTGGGCTCCCCAAGCATGAATTTTAAAAATGCAGTGTAAGCTTCCAGCAAGGATTGTGTGCCCTGTATCATGACCCTCAAGCAGCGCAAGGCTTGTGTGGGAGGCCATTGACAGACCTTATGGAGTGTCATCTCTCTTCTGCATCCTCATCCAGAGATATCTGAGTAACAGTAAAACAATAGCTAAATTATCACCTAAAAACCTGATTCTTCATTAAGATTTCATCAAAACTGGCACATTTAGAGGCAATGTTCATTGTTATTCTGCCTACAAGCAGCAGCCAGGTCTCACCTGAGTGGAAGAAGTAAAATTGCTTGTGTGGGAAGTTGATGATTTCTAGGTGCAAATTTCTCAAGAAGAAGAACAACTTTGATTTGACAGTAGACTAAACTGGAGCTGTGCTAATACCCCTATTACCTCCACCTTTTCCACTCTGGTGATTCTTTTGAGTTTGAAGAAATATCTGCTTTCTAGAAGGCTGACTGATGTGCCTTGAAATAGGTAATTCCTTCCTCTTCTCCTCATGGGAGTCAGTTCCTCCTGCCTTTGCTCTGAGCACAGTCTGGGACAGGGGGATATAAACAATGGGTAATGCCAGCCCTGGGGAGGCAAGCAAGGACAGAGCATCAGGGTAGGTAAGGAAAGTCAGGGTTGTCCTTTTATGTGGTACCTTATCTTGGAGTTCTGCCCACAGACTAGCAGCCATCCATTGGCACTCTTTTACTTACTTCAGTTTTCCCATGATGACATTTGATTTTAGAAAGGCTTCTTATCTTAAAATGAGTAAACTCCCAGCAAGCAAAAAATCCGGCTGACCATCTGGTTGGAAAGAGACTCCCATTGGTTATCATACAGATAATACTTTCCTATTCAAGGTATGGTATTCTAACCACATCTAGAAGAGCACATAGACAAGATTACTCCCTGGATTTACCACAGATTTCATTATTTATACTGTATTAATTAACACTTTGCTTAAATTATAGATTAGCTTCTCATTCCTGTTTACTGCATTGACAATTTTTTCTTCATCAGCCCCTGGGAGGTTTGTTCTGGCTTCTCTATACAGTGCTATTAATCAAAGTCTCTATCAAAGTTTAATCAAAGTCTAATCAAAGTTTATGTCATATAAAGCTGCATTTCTTAATGGGGACTGACAGTAGTGCCAGAAGCAAAATGAAAAGTTCAGACCAGTTTATAAATTCATCAAGTTTCATTGAAGTCACCACACACAACAAAGCTACTGGATTCTGCTGAAAAATGCATTTCCAGGGAATCTCCCTGGCCAAATATTTCCCATTTTTAACTCTGATGGAAACCCTACACTGTTCTTATGCTGACATTGCAGCCAAACAAACATTTGCAGTGCCACCAAGAACCATTCTCCAGTCCTTCTACTCCAAATAAATTGCTGCTGCTGCCTGAGCTGAAGAGGAAGCTCAGAGACCTGATAGCAGTTTATGACATGGCTGATAGGTCCTAACCTTATCTGGCAGAAGCAAATTATGCTTTTCACTAGTTATTTAAAAAATCCTATGGCAAAGCTCAATGTTGTGCATCAGGAATTCAGACATTTCATATCAGCACAGTAAACTGAAAATCATTTAGGTCTACAACTTTTTTTGTGAACATTATACTCTTGCACAGTTTATCTTTTTGTTGCTTTCACAGCAGTTTTGGATTGCTCTGTAAAATGCTGCCTACATTTGCAGTGACCTATAAATAAATAAATAAATAA